TTACTTATGGTTGAGGTGCAAACATACCATGGCACAAAAGGAGAGGCTAGAGGAAAACTTGCAGGAGTCAGTTCTCTCCACCACGTGGGCTCTAGGGATCGAACTCCGGTTGTCACTCTGTCACAATCACCTTTACCTGCTGAGTCATCTCACGAGCCCTGCTTTTTGCGGTTAAAAACATAAAAACTATTCCAAAGCTTAGGCCTTCCTCGTTCATCAAAACTGTGCAACCCTAGAAGTATCGGGGAGGGCCTGTGCACCCCGTCCCAGGACTTCCTTTAAGAAAACCCTCCCAGGACACAGACCTGGGGCGTGGTCAGAAATCCCAGCGTCTCAAGCTCATCTTCCACCAAAGGGCATTCCATTCCCTGGACTGAAAAGACCCAGCCAGAGCCCAGAGCTGAGGATGCGGCACTTCCAACCATACAAGGAAATGCAAGAGCTCCCAGGCAGCGGTGTGACTGGACCCAGCCCCAGCCCGCCCCACGTCCCCCCACTCCGTGAGAGCTGCCCCAACTCTCTCTCTCTCTCTCTCTCTCTCTCTCTCTCTCTCTCTCTCTCTCTCCCTCTCTCTCTCTCTCTCTCTCTCTCCCACACACACACACACACACACACATACACACACACACACCTGTCCTTGCATGTCACGCTGTCCTCCAGCCACACCCAGCCAGCCGTTCAGCCCAGGAAATCTTCTGTTCCATCCAAGTGGGTCCCCAGCAGGAGCATCTGATGTTCTCTTCGGCCATGCTGTTTTCCCATAATCTTTCAATAACTGCTCAGTGTCTGCTCCCTGGAGACCAGCTGATGGCCAGAAGCTAATACCTGAGCCGGTACCCACCCCCTCTAATTTTGAGACAGGTATCTTGAGGGTAACCTTGAACTTTTTTGATCCTCCTGCCTCAGCCTCCTGAGGTTGGGATTAGACAAGGCTGCGTGTGTCACTTTCTGCACCCCTTCCACACCTGCCCCCGCCTGCCCCCACCAGGATGCTGACTCCTCAGTGTGCACCCTGACTCCCTCCCACTGCAAGCCTCCTAGAGCTCTGTCCCCATCAGGGGTTCAGCTGATGCTCCAATTCCCTTCCACATGCATTCTGGGGGTAGCTTTAGGGAGGATGATTGGTGAGCCTGGGAAGAGATTGGGTTTGGGTTTGTTTTATTTTTTTTCACAAAAAAAGGAATGAGGGACCAGTGATAGGGCTCAGCAGGTAAAGGCGTTTGCTGCTAACCCTGACAACAGGAGGTCGACCCCACGGTGGAAGGAGACAACCAGCTCTTGAAAGTTGTTCTCTGACTTCTACACGCGCACTGTGGCACATGCACACCCACACACGTGCATGCACATAAATAAATAGACAAACAAACAAATAACTATAATTTCTAATTTTTCAAAGGTAGCTACCCGGATGCCAAGATGAGGGTGCGGGCGGGCTCAGCAGACCCAAGCAGGGAAAGCCCTCCTCTCCTTCTGAGGTCATGTCCTTCCCCAAATTCTTTCCATGTTGTAAAATCAAACATAGAATCATTAGAACAAACGTTTATGGCTTCTAAGGCATGTTAGAATGCGAGGGAAAAACGAGGCTGCCTGAAAGGTTACTGTGCAGTCAAATTGGGGTTGGCTTTCTCTCTAGCCATGTTCTCCTCTACGTAGCCCAGTGTTCACAGCTTCCATCTCTGCAACACAAATGGGGTGGTGGTAGCAAAGTTTTTAGGATGTTAAAAAAAAGGACACATAGGACTGGAGAGATGGCTCAGTGGTTAAGAGCACTGACTGCTCTTGCAGACGACCTGGGTCCGATTCCCAGCACCCACACAGCGGCTACGAACCATCCTTAACTCCAGTTCCAGGGGAATCCAAAGCCCTCTCTGACCTCTGTGGCATTGCACGACACAGGTGCACTCACATACATGCAGGCAATACACTCATATGAATTAAATAAAAATAATAAGATTTAAAAAAAAAAAAAAAAGGACACGAGTTGTGAAAGACAATTCAAAGCTTTGTTTTTCAGGTTTTTAACTTGGTGTTTTTTTTTGTGGTGGATAAGTGCATAAAAATGTAATTGAGCCAGGCCCGGTGGCACACACCTTCATCCCCAGCTCTTGGGAGCAGAGGCAGGTGGACCTCTGTGAGATGAGGACAGCCTCCTGGTCTACATAGTGAGTTCCAGGCCAGCGGGGGCTGCAGAGAGACCCTGTCTCAAAAAAACAAAAACAATAAACAAAATGTTATTGATAGTAAAAGGGCAAGGCCCTACGTGAAATCCCACAGCTCTAGGACGGCCATTCCAGCTGTGCAGACATTCTCCGGGATGTGCGGAACTGGGGCTGGGCAAGCGTTTGAGTGGCCGTGTTAATCTAGCTACATGATGTTCTTATTTGTGAGTTCATACTAATAAAGTGATTAGAAAGAATTCCAAACGCCTTTTCAAAAAGCAGCTGACTAAGCATCTGTAAAGCATGTCTGGTTCTTTCAAAGTCTGTGCTGTAAGGGAAGAAACAAAGCCGTAGGAATTTGTTTCTGCTTTTAAAGATAATTGCCGATTGTTTTTCATTTAAGTTACATTGAACATTTCCAGGTACTGGCAATCAAAGGAAAACTTTTTCAAATGGAAAAATTCATTTACATCCGTAGTAAACCTTATTTTGATGAGAAGATGCACTCATGGTTTTTTTTTTGTTTTTTTGTTTTGTTTGTTTTGGGAGGAGTTTTTTGTTTGGTTGGTTTTTTTTTTTTTTTTTTTTTTTTGGTCTTTTTGAGACAGGGTCTCCCAGTAGCCCCAGCTGGCCTGGAACTCACTATGTAGACCAGGCTGGCCTTGAACTCACAGAGATCCTCCTGCCTCTGCCTCCCGAGTGCTGGGATTAAAGGCGTGCGCACCACACCCTGTGATGCACTCACGTTTTACCACCAGATGGGGGAAAAAAGAAAGATAAGCATCCTTTCAGAAGTAGTGTATTTTAAATGAAGTACAGGAACTGGAGACATGGCTCCAGAGGACCTGAGTTCGATTCCCAGAACCCACATGACAGCTAACAACCATCCATAACTCCAGTTCCAAGGGATCCAATGCCCTCTTCTGATCTTGGAAGGCATTGCACAACATGGGTGCACTTACATACATGAAGGCATTACACTCATACACATAAAATAAAAATAATAAATAAGATCTTAAAATGAAATACAGGGTGTCAGCAAGATGGCTCAATGGGTAAAAACGCTTGCTGTCAAGGCTGACAATGTGAGTTTCATCCCCAAGACCCACAGGGTGGAAAGAGGGAACTGATTCCTGCAAGTTGTCCTCTGACCTCCACATGTACACTATGATACATGTGCATGGGCACACACAAATAAGTATAAAAACATAGAAATAAATAAAATGAAGTACAAAGAAAAACATGGAAAGAAGGAAGGAAGGAAGGAGGGAGGGAGGGAGGGAGGAAGGAAGGAAGGAAAAGGATCACCTCTGAGCTCCTCCAGTATAATGAAGTCTTCAGAAGCCCAAGACCAAACCAGAAAGTGGAAGAGAGAATTGGGGAAATAGAGACTGACCTGTGTCCCAGCTGAACCCCCATCTCCTCACAACAACCAATTTTGCTGCCCCTGACCCCCAAGGTGGAGACTGTCCTTTTGGGGTTCCCAGGAGTCTTTTCCTAGAATACTGGTTCCTGGACTTTGACCTGGGGATCCCGACAGAGCAGAGGAGTAAAGCTTCAGACATCACAGGCTGAAGGCTGTGGGGGTGGGGTCCAGCTCCTGAAAGTGATGGACAAGTGTGCAGACTTCCAGTGGGCTTGCTAATTCACACAGCCATCAGCTTGGTGTGCTTCCTCAGCTCCCCAAACACTTTGTTTCAGGGAGACTATTTTTGGGGTGAGGGCTTTTAAAGCTATCCTGGATAGACATGTGGACAGAGACAGAGTGGCAGGCAAAAGAGCCAACAGCAAATGTAACTCACAAGATCAGGGTGTTGGACACAGAGGAGTTCAAATTGCTTCTTTCCTCCTATTTCATTCTAAGTTTGACATTCTTCATTTTAAAAGAATGTTGGGAAACGTAGTCAGGGTTGGGAACATGCAGGATACCCCTCCACTGTGTCCAAGGGACTTTGCACAGTGGGGGCTCCCAGGGAGCTCTTTCAAACCTGGGCTTTCTGAAAGGCAGGTGCTCCTAATGGCAGGAGCTAGGTCAGGTGTGCAAGGAGAACCAGCAATTGAAGAGAGGGGAGCCTGGTCTACAAAGGGCAGCAGGGTGAGTTTCTCCTGGTATAGATCCCACAGGGGGTGTCATTCCCTGCCCTCAACCCCCAGGACTACCTTTGGGGCTATCTTCGCCTCCAGAGCTCAAGCTTGGAGAAAATTCTAAGAAAAACCAAAAGAACTTTTCAAAAACTTTTACCCAAAAGCTTTACCATAAGCAGCCTAGTTGGTAGTGTCCTTGCGTAGCATGCACAAAGCCCTGGGTTCAATCCCCAGCACCACATAAAGGGATGTGTTGGTGAAGGCCTGTGATCCCTGAGAGGTGGCAGCAGGAGGATCAGAAATTCAGGGTATCCTCCACTGCATAGCAGATTCTAGTCCAGCCTGTGATCCATGAGACCCTGCCTCAAGAAGGAAAGGAAAGGAAGGAGGGAAGGAGGTAAAGAAAAGCCAGAAAGCAGACCGCACAGGTTCCTGACACCAGCCGCCAACATCTCACCAAGTTTTCCCACTTCATAGATGGAAAGAGCAAGACTCAGGCGGGTGAGGGTCCCTGCTAGAGTCTTATAACCAGAACAGTGCCAACCTGGAGGACACAGAAGAGAGAGAAGAGAGGGTTCCCCACGGAAGGAAGGGGCGCTGCCAAGCCTGTCCCCAGTGCCCTGGGTCACAACAGCGCGAATGTGCCAGAAGGCGGCCCGGCTCGGCCACGGCGAGCTGTGCGCCCCAAGGCGCGCGGGGACCAGGCCGGTGGGAAGGAGGCGCGCGGGGGCCTTGTGGCTGTGCGCTGAGCACTACCTGGGTCGTGGAAGGGCACCAGCACGTAGTTGGCGATGGCCTGGCTGCGGCTGCTCAGGCTGCGCTCCAGAATGCGTGAGGCGCCGTCGATCACTTGCATCAGATCGTCCCACATGGAGCCGGTGACATCGAAGACGAAGGCCAAGGTGGCGTCTCCCGCTGCGGGAGGCAGCGCAGTCCCCGGAGCATCCGCCGCGGCCACCGCCACTGCCGCACAGATCGCCGCCAGCAGCCGCGGGAGAGGCGCCCCGGGCGTCATGCTGAGCACGGTGACAGCGGTGCCTCGCTCCAGGCGGGTGCGCACCGGACAGGGGCGCGGCGGGGTCCCCCTCGGAGAGCCTGAGGCGGGTCCTAGCGCCCACTCCGCCTCCCGCGCTCCCCCCTCTGTGACTCAAACTTTCCCAGCCCCGCTGCTGGCTGGTCCAGCCCGGAGGTTAGAGGAGGACGCAGGGCAGACGGCGGGAGGGAGGTGGGGCCACTGCCAAGAGCCAGAGGGATGGGAATGCAAGTGAAGCATGAAGCCACCAACACCTGCAGGCCCCCCAGCTGAGGGGGTGGAAAGAGGCCACGCGACTGGCCAGAGCAGTCCTCGAATTTACAACTGGCCTCACCCCTGCCACCCTGCCCTAGGGACACTGAGCTTCCTGGTTATTGTAATTATTCTTGTCAACATCAGCAAGCCTAGGCCTGGCATCTTCCACCTGCTCAGCATCTCCAACAGGATTTCCTTGTAACTCCCTAACACCAAACCCATTTGATATCTGGGCAAAGAGAGGCTCAGAGAGGTGAAGTCGTTTACCCAAGGACACCGAGCACTCAGATGGTGCAGACAGGTTAGTAGCCAAATGCAGAAGGAACCCAAAGTCCTTGGGCTCTGCTGCCACCCCCAAGTGTTACAAGACATTGTCTTAGATCATCTGGGGTCTCCAGGAGACAGGGTGCACACTCTGCTGGTCATCTGTCTCCCAAGACTCCTGGGTCACATGTGAGGGGCTGGGTCACATGTGGGTTCAGTCATCCTCTCCTTGACAATGGTCCTTCTTCCATCTGGCTAGATAGGGGTGCTCCCTCTGCCATCAGGCTGAGTCGGGGTACTCTATCCTCAGGTTGAGTTGAGGTGCTACCTCCTGCCATCAGGATGGGTGGGGTGCTGCCTCTCTCTGACAACAAACTTGGTATGGGTGCTCCCTCTCTGACATCAGTCTGGGTAGGGTATTCCCTCACTCCACCATCAGTGTTCCTTCCATTCCACAGCAGCCCTTCCTTACCCTCTCAGGCTATGTACTCCTGGATGATACTTTTCCCCTACAAACCAAGCCCCTTGGGGTCCAGGCTGTGCCTTGGGTCCCGTCCCCCCACCCCCTCCTTTCAGGTCCTATTCTGGCACAGGATGGAGACTCATTAATGTGGCTTAATTGAAAAAGGGTAGCCTTGGTGCACATGTTTGATCCCAAGTCCTGTGAGACCCTCAGGCCTCAGTTCCTCCCTGTGCACCGTGTCCCACAATGTCACACAGATCCCCCCCAAGTCAGTTAAGAGTTCTGAGTCTATAGGAGGGCACTGTGTAGGAGGAAAGTGGCCCCACATCATCCCACTCCCTTCCTGACAACCACACCTCCCCCATCTCTAATGTCACCCTGTCCTACACCCACAGCCTCTGTCTTGCCCTAGCTCTGACAATGCTGTATCATCAGGATCACACCTGGGTGACAATGGAGCCCAACAAAGTCTGTATGCCATCTTCAAGGGGTGGTGGGTACCAGAGGAGCTGGGTTATTGGGCCCAATGGTCATAGATGGGAGTGGGTAGGAACATCTCAGAGACGCAAGTCTAGATGAGGGTCAGAGAGATCTCGGGCAACAGTTTGTTCTAGAGCTATCTTGTAGAGTTTGGCAGAAGCCAGGTCCTCAGGCCCAGCCTGAGAGTGGAGTTCACAGTCAAATTCAACAGGACGTTGGGTCGCCTGCACTTGTGAAAGCTAGCTCTTTAAATTTCCCTGGGTGAAGACTGTGATTGCCCCTCAGAGTCTGGGCAGGGCTGGGCCAGCTGTTGGAGTGAAAAGAGAGGCCCCAGCTGTGAGGCGAGAACAGGGACCAGGAGCCAGGAACCAAATGGTGACACTTCAGGCCCAGGACAGAGGTCTTTGGTTATTCGCTCTACAAACATGCTGAGTCTAAGCTCTGCCTCAGGTACTCTGTGAGGCACTGCTGGGATGGGGGGATAGAAAGATGCAGGAGATGTGCTCTCTACCCTACCCTGGGGAGGAAAGACACATAAACAAATAATTCTAACTCAATGACATAAGTGCTAATAGAGGAATTATCCAGCGCTCTGGGAGCCCAGGGGAAGGAGGGGCCGAGCCTAAGAGGTCAGAGGAGGCCACAGAGCCTGAGAAGCTGGCAAGTACAAGACAGGAAGGGCATCGAAGAGCAGGAACAGCATGTGCAAAGGCAGGAGGAGCCGAGAGGCCTCCAGTGAGTGATCCAGGGGAACTGGAGGGGGCTGATGGAGGAAGAGGGGACAAAGGATAGATTCTAAGGGACCTTAAACACCCTGCCAGTCCTCCTGGGGTTTTCTCAAAGGTACTGGGGAGCTACTGAGTATAAAGCAGAAAGCTACCTGGACTGAGTCATTAATACATTCAGACAATGCACAGTGGCCAGAGTTCAGAGGGTAGACCTTGTAGATGCCAGAGACCCTAAATCCCCGCCAAGAAGGTAATGGCAGAGATGGCCTCAAAGACAGCGAGGTGATTCTCTTTAACAAGGGATGGACAGAACCAGGGATTTGACTTTTTGGTGGCTTTTGGAGGGGGAGCTGAAATAAAGTTTCGATATAACCCAGGCTGGCTTTGGACTCAAGGAGTCTCCAGTCTCAGCCTCCCAAGGGCTTGGATTACAGGCATGTATCCCCCCACCCTCACACACCCAGCTTTGACTTTGAGTTCTCAAACAGCCTGGTGACGTTCAGTAGCATGCTCCTCTCCCTTGGGTTCTCAGGTTCCCCATTTGTAGGATGATTTAAGAGGAGAGGCTAACAAGATAACCTTGGATGGTTCTTGTAGCTCCACCATCAGGGAACTCCTGCCAGGGTCTCTCAGAGACACAGGATGGGGGGAAGAAGGTCAGAGCTCATCTCAGCCTGGCATCCTCCGGTTGCCATAGAAGGCCCTGCCAGGGTCTCTCAGAGACTCCCAGAAGAAGGTCAGAGCTCATCTCAGCCTGGCATCCTCCGGTTGCCATAGAAGGGAGCCTTGGGCAGGCACCTGCTATCCACCTGCCATTACTCTAACTGGCCTGATCCTATTGCCCACACAGGGTGATCCGGAAGCTGATCACTCCAGCACAGGTGCCTCGGGTGCTCAGGACACCCTAGGAGTGTAACCATGTCTACAGGAGAGAGCCGAACAGCATGCCTGGACAACACAGCCTCCGCTCCCCTAGGCCCCTGAGAGCCCACATATTTTTTATTCAAATTATCTCACATATTTCCTCTATTTCCAGAAGGTGCAATCCCAGTAGAGTTGTTTCCTAACAGGTCACATGTTTGTTGTGGAGCGCCCCTTGGCCTGTCTGCCTAAGGGAAGTACACACTGTATTCCCTGGCTTGGGAATCAGCCCTGTCTGGTGTCTGCATCAGGACCCAAGGGCAGCCAAGTGGCTGGATCAAAACCCAGGGCTCTGGAAGCGCAGCTGGTCAAAGGCTTTTCCTTGCCCTCTCTGCAACCTGTTCCCTAAATGCCCCCAAGTCTGGGCTGTTTCAGATACCCCGGCTCATCTTGCCACACCCAGCTGTCCTCCAGAGGTTGCCTGATCTATCCCCTGAAGAATCACAGCGTCAGTGGTGGCAGACACTGTGTGCCAAATCCTTACTGAGCACTAGACCCCAGGCCAGGCCACTCCCATCCAGGCTGGGAAACTGAGGCTCTAAGGGGGGGAGTAATGGGGGGCAGGCAGGACTTTGCATGTGCCTTTGCCTTCCTGGGAAATCCACAGATCCACCCACTACTCCCCACATCCCTGGAGATGCAGGAAGGATTCCAACAGGAGCCCAGGGGGCTTCTAGAACCAACCCAGAGTTCCTGGCCTCCCTCGGGTACTGCTCTCTCCAGCAACTCTGCAAGTAGGCCTTCAACTCAAGCCTCTAACATTTTGCATCATTGCAGGACTGTGGGAGACCCAGTCCACCTGTGTTTTATTAGAATGCCTGTGAACAAAAGGGGACAGAGGAAATGACCCTGTGGCTGGGGCAGGGGATGCCTTTCCTAGGATGGGCGCAGAGTCCACAGCTTGCTCTCTCCTCCAGGAAGAAACGAAGTCTCCCTGGAGACCCCAGGAGCAGGGCTCTTGAGAAGGCTGAGGGACTGATGACTTGAGTGGTCGGAGCTCCTGAGGACAAAGAGGGGCCGCCAGAGTCCCAGCCGCACAGCCGCGAGGCCCAGCAGCCAGGGATGGATGATTTACTGCCGAGCCCAGTCCCACAGTGGAACCGGCCTCCAAGTCACATGTATCGCCAGAACGGTTTGAGGTCATCCCAAGAAATAGTTGAGCAGCTCAACACAGCAACTGTTGCCCATCCCCATGTTTTCATGAACAAACAAGCAAAAGCTGGGCCAGAGGCAGCACTCCAGGGCTTGTTCCCACCACTCTGCCTGGCCCACAGGCCCGGGTCTCCGGGACAGAGCTCCTGTGTTGCTGAGTTCTTTATATGCACATTCTGGGAGAAGAAGCTCATCTCCTGAGGGTCACTGCTGCATCTCAAGTCTCACTGGTCATCTATGGTCATCCTGTCACCTTCATCAGTGTCCTCGGTGATTGGTACCAACATCCACAATGAGTTAAAATTCAGTATCTGCCCATCGTGTGCTTTCTGTGTTCTCTCTTGTTTCTCTCTCTCTCTCTCTCTCTCTCTCTCTCTCTCTCTCTCTCTCTCTATCTCTCTCTCTCCTGCAGGGGAGGACAGAAACAGAAGGATTCCTGGGAGTCACTGGCCAGACAGCCTGGTCTACTTGGTAAGTCCCAGATCCCAGTGAGAGTCTGTCTCAAAAAACAAGATGGGCCAGGCATGGTGGCACACGCCTTTAGTCCCAGCACTCAGGAGGCAGAGGCAGGTGGATTGCTATGAGTTCAAGGCCACCCTGGTCTACATAGTGAGTTCAGGTCTGCTGGGACTACAGGGAGACCCTGTCTCAAAAAAAAGGTGGATGACTGCTAAGGAGTGACTCCTAAGGGTGCCCTGTGGCTTTTACACACACACACA